TGAATTTACCTTTACAAAAAATAATATGCATTAGGTATAGCAACTTATCACCTTGAAAACTTTCATAGGGTTTCACGTGTAGTGACTATGTATTTGAAGCCAACTGTGGCTACTAATTTGCACACAGCAATGTCTCAGAACCAGTCATGACATGAATGGCCAATGGTTAAACTTTCGGACAAGAGAGTTATGAGCAAGCCGTCAGTCTAAAATAAAGCACAATACAATACAAATATTAGATTTGTATTGCGCCTTTCACATCGGGAGGACATCGCAAGTCAGGGATTTGGACTTTTTGGACACTCAGGGATTTGGACATAACTGTAGTGACAGCAAGAATAATACAAATATGTTTGGGCTATAGCCTTTATGAAATCACATACGCAAGTTATTGTTACAATTACAGTATACATTTATGTGGTTATCCTCTGGGGGTTGGGGTGGTGGAGAGAGAGAGGATCTCCATGTCCAAGTCAGCCCTCTGCGCTGATCTCAGTAGCCTGAGTCCTGAAGCAGGTAGGGCTACAGGAGCACCAGGCCAGCCAACCTGGCTAATTGGCATGACTTGTAGGGTGGTCACAAGGGGCAGATTCTTCCCACTCAGCTCCTGTTAACCTTGCAAGGCAAAGCCCTAACAGGTAGGGTACTCCTCACTGGACAAGCAGCGGGCAGCTTGCCTAATAGCGATATCAATGGCAAGCTGTGCAGTTTTAGCTGGATAGGCTCCAACAGTACTGCAACACACACTCTAGGGTCACCAACCCTTTGCTCTTGCCAACCTGCGCTTAATACAGAATGAGGTAAGCAATGTGCCAATCTGAGGATAGAGTGCGCATTCCAACTCAGATTCAAGAATTTTCATGTATCGACGGGATACCATGGAACTCTCAGTTTAGCTTGGATACTCAGAAGTTATCTGAATTATCACATCACACACTGCATTTATCCATTGAGTGGTGCTCCTGATTTCCTTCCTAGCTCTACACATACAAACTATGTTTAATAATTCCATTTATCAGGTTTTGAGAAAGAATATGCATGTAAATGCACGCAGTACATACATTTACTGTACTGCATTTAAAAAAATATGTTCGCATTATTCATCCGTATTTAATAATAATCCTTGCATTTGATACAGAGCCTTATCACATCTTCAAGATGTCTCAAAGCGCTTCACAGAATATATTGTAAAGTGAATTGATTGTATATTTTGTGAGCGAAAGTCCACCGTTTAAAAAAGATTGTTATGCCTCTGATAAAAAAATAAGATGCTTTGCAGATTGAATAACAACTTAATAAGTACTGTAGCAGCAGTACCTAAGGTGTAACTATATCAAGCAAATTGTCCTCTCCTCCCTCTCTCCACCCCTAGCGCTGCTCTGCCCACAATAGCTCACAATAGCAGATTAAGCCAGGAACACCTCTACAATAACAACTCTGGTTTTCTTTCATTGTAATCAATCTCACATTAAAAGTGACAATGCCCGATTAAACCTGAAATTTACTTCCCTCAGGACCCAAAATTCTACCTGATCTTAACCTGTAAGACCATTTCATCTTAAATTTAATGAAGAATCATGGAAAATTCCTAAATTCAGTCTTAATTTGGAAGTTGTTTATTTGCAGTTTTTTTCAAAGTAACTGGTTTCTAAATTACAACTGAATTGAAGAATTTTCCATAATTCTGCGCAATCTTTAATTTGAAGTCAAAGACTAGATGGTATTTGGCACATCACCAACATAGTGTTTCAGTTTCTGCTACACCATTTATGAAATAATGCATCTTCCAACAAACAGAGGACTGAAGAGCCAAATTGCAGATTTCCTTTTCAATATTGTCTTTCAGCTTTTTCTCTTTATTTAAACCCCAAGTGTCTGTCACGGTCACACCTTTTGTTTTCTATGCCTCTGTTGTTTAAATATATTGACTAGCACGTTAAATACATTTTTTTTTACGAGCACTTTAAATACTTTTTTTTACGAGCACTTTAAATACTATTTTTTAACGTACTTAACGTCTTTGATACTTGTGGTGCCATCAAGCCTGACTCTAGCGTCGATTACAACAATTTGGCGGGTAATTTACCATTCTAATATGCAATTGAAGGATTGGAGGTGAACTTGTCCTCTGTTGGGCAACTGAGGGGAGGATCTGATTGGACCTTAAAAAAGGCACCAATTACATCAAGTATCTGGTGCAATACAATTCCCATAGGCTGCCCTAACTCAGGGAGAGGCTCAATACCCATAACAGAATGAGCGCCATATGCCCATAGTCGCTATTTTTCTACCTGATGACAACAGAGGTATGTGCTCTGACTATTGACGAGCATTAGTCAGAGTTTGGTTCTTCGTGCACTTTTTCATTAACTTCATTACAAATGGCTGCTAGCGTGTGTAGCTCAAGTGTAATTAATGTTTGTTATCTCATAGGGTGATAGGACCGTCTTATGTCTCAAAACATGCAGCAACTAAACTCAAATTATTAAGTATATCAAACAAAATGTATTGTCCATGCAGTGTTTAGTACCAATTAATTGGAAAACTACAGTTTGTTTATTTATAGCAATATAACAATAAGATTCCTTATTTTGGCACCTGATCACATTGTCAGAAGATCTCAAAGCACTTTACAGGAATTATTATAAAGTGTAATGATTTTGTATTTGCAGGCAAACCTGACAACCAATTTGCATACAACAAAGTTCCACAAACAGCTATGAAGTGAATGACCAATTTGATCTGGGGATTGTTAGCCAGGACACAGGGAGAAACTTCTCTTTGATTCATGGCAAGGGATCTTTAAAGTCCACCTGAACTATCAGACAGGTTCTCAGTTTAACATTGCATTTGAAATATGCTACCTTCTAGAAGGCAACAGTGCGTTGCAGTGTCAGCTCAGACTATGAACTCAAAGTCCTGACAAGGGGCTTGAACCCATAACGTTCTCACTAAGCAGCGAGAGTTTTGCCAACTGAGCCAGGCTGACACCTGGTACAGCAATTCACACACATACATGTTTCAAACACGACCAAGCACTTTATACTCCTTCACATATAGGTGAAGAACAGAATATCTGCAGGTTAAATTTTGATGCATTTAGAATCATGGAATGTTTCCCAGCCTAGCTTGTCCTTTGGCTTTTAAATTTTAATTTAATGCAGGTTGCCTTTTATGTGCTAGTAATGTATCTTAACCCTGAAACCCAAGTAGCTTTAACCTTATGTCTGGGCTTCTCATATATTTTTCTCCCAATATTGTTCTTCAGGCTTTTGCAGGAGTTATTACAAAGTATAACTTGGTTACAAAACCACAATTTGTTCAATTATAGCAATATATTGCCGGACACTATGTCATGCACAAACACAGACATTACAAACACTGCCAAACCCTTTATACTCCTTCAGTGCTTACAAAAGAATTATGAGACCATATTATGTTTTGAAGCATCTGGATGTGTACACAAACACAAAAAGTCATGGGTAAACTGACTTAACTTCTATTTTAGGCTGATAAAATAAAGAGAATAATTATGCGATGCTTGCTTGCAGGCTGACAAATTAATAACAAACAAGCATGTAAATAATATGCATGTGCTTTGCAAACCACCTTGTGGCAGTGCTGAAAGTGTAAATTTGAATGATTTTATTAAGTTACACACCACTGTGCACAGAGTTAACCCAGGCCTTATCTGAACAGCTCGCCTGCCCACAGCTAGGAGACAGCAATTGTCTACAAGCAAACAAAGGTTGAAATATACCTCTGTGGCTTGTGATTCTATGGCCAATTGCATGGAAAACACAAAAGGAAAAAGCATTTAAAACGTACGCATGTGAATTAGGCTGAAAAATGCATTGCTCATGTATATGGTGAATGTGAAAATTACAGCTTCTCCAATGAATTTACATTCACTACCGTGACATTGTAAATGCAATGTCCTAAAATATTATAGCCATTTGTCAGAAAAAAGCTACAATTCACCAAGAGAGTCTGCTTTGGATCTTTATTGGCGAAATGTTTGGGTTTCCAGAAGAAAAGGAATGATTGCGTCTGAATTCAAATCCGAATAAAGGTGTGTAATCCATTTAACTCTCAAATGGCAGCAAAACTTTAATCCAATAACTGATCAAATATAATTTTTTCATTAAGATAATCCCTGCATTTGATATATAGAGAGACCAGGTAAAGTCAAATAATCCAGAAACAATGCGACACATAACACCAAATATGATGTATCACATTGCTAATCTTATAGATTGCATTAGAGGTAAAACAGAAAACTGTGTGGAACAAGTAAATTGCCCAAATATTTCAGTGAATGCCAGCTCAAAAAGGCAAAGGTATATTCAATAGCACATTTCATTTTGATCAAATAAAACTTTAATAAATTGTTCAGCACACCATTAACTGCACTTCAATGTGAATGAAAAGCAACTATGTTAAGTCAAGAGGGAACAAAATAATCACATGGAAACCAATAAAGAGCGGAAAACCTCCATGTTTAATAAGTAAAAGTTTAATTATTAAATGATCTTTTACCCCTCCAGGTAATTTGGAATTACAGGTTCCAAGAAATGATCCTGAATAGAGGATTTTGGATGCAGAAGAGTTTAGGGCATGATTGTTTTTGACACTTAATGTATTTATTTTCAAATCACAACATGCTTTCAATAATTGCGGACAATGTTGAACCTCACCTTGTTATTGTTCCTGCAATCTAACCACTTTGTTCAGGTAATCCCACATCTGCGCTGATCCCTCACAAATTATCACAGTGGTGAGGAAAAACAAAGAGCACGTTTATTGGGGAAGGGAGGCCAGCAATTTTGTGACATTCCTCTTTCTGCAAACGTAAGAGAGTACTGTGTACAGTTGCACGTTTAACAGCACACAATGATATATTAGTGAATGGATTGTGTTATGTGAAGAGAGGGAGGAGGAGGAGGAGGAGGAGGAGGGGGGGAATGCCCAGAGAGGTTAGTGAAGGAGTTTGCTCTTACCTTCTTGTCTTCTTTATCATTTGCTTGTCTCTTCTCCTGAGTGAGGTTGGCATTGACAGCTGGACTCTCCTGCCTCTGCCCATCCTGCTGTTGCTGCTGTTCCTGCTGCTGCTGTTGCTGACAGCCACTGCCTCCAGACCCCTGCGAGTGGGGGATGGGCTCTGAGCTCCTGTTTTCCCGACACTGAGAAACTCCGTTTACATCCATCTCGATCTTCCAATTCACTACATTGCAAAAAAAAAAGGAGGTTAATATTTTTTCCCCTCCACACACACACACACACACCAAAAAAAAAACAGCAGAGATCTCAGCAATGCATTTGCTACCCGCTGCCCCGGGGGGTGGGGGGGGGGGGTGGGGGGGGGGGGGGTCCTGCACAGATCACACACTTGGCAATGTGTCCTTGTGCAATGGCCTTCAGTCGCCCCTGACCCACCCGGAGTAGCCCTCTACCCACTGAGGGGCTCTGCGGCTGCATTGTGGTTACACTATGTACTTTACTGTACCGGCGGCTGCTGACGGCTTCCCATCTGAGCTCTGGACCCATCCCAAAGTTACAGGAGAAGGGAGAGGGGCAGAGGGGGGGGGGGGGGGGGGGGGGTCCGGGATCACTGCAATGTAACTGGTGATGTGAGCTTTAAGATCCGCTTATACTGACCAACAAAAGTTAAAGCCTCCCTTGTCTCTCACATACATGTACACACACATACATGTACACACACACAGACACATGTACACACACACAGACACATGTACACACACACACATGTACACACACACATGTACACACACACACACATGTACACACACATGTACACACACACATGTACACTCACACATATACACACACATACACATGTACACTCACACATGTACACACACATACATGTACACACACACATACATGTACACACACACATACACATGTACACACATACACACATATACATGTACACACACACACACATATACACACACACACACACACACACACCGCCTCCTAACGCTGCAAATGGAGAGACAATAAATTATTCTCAAACCTGGGAAACGTGGAGCCGATGGGGCATTTACACGATTATTTTTCGGTTCCGATCCTCTGTTCAAATACCCTCTGTGTGACCGTGGCTCTCCCTCTCCCCCTCACTCCCTCCCTCCCTCCCTCCCTCTCCCCCTCCCTCCCTCTCGCACTCAGACTCTGCCCGCGTCGCGCCGCGCAGCATTGCACAGCACAACTGGGAGTAAAGAGAGGAAGAGCACAGGGGGAAACCAGGGAGGCAATGGGAATCTCTGCTCTCCACTCTCAGTCTGACTCAACCCCTACCCTTCCCGGTTCCGAGAGAGAGAGAGAGAGAGAGAGAGGGGGGGAGACAATCTCACGCAGGATTCCGTGTGTTATAATAATAAAAACTTATTTGATGAATCCCGAGTCCATTGCATCAACTTCAAAAATCATTGCTCAGCAGTGCCTTGTCAGCTCCTCTCCCCCACAGCGTTAGAACTGACACAGCAGCACAGTGCTGGCACACTGCAGGCGGCCCAGGTCCATCTCACCACCTCAAGACGAATATATCAAAAACTAAACTATGCATATTAAAACTTGGCAGTGCCACTGTAAGATTTAACCCATTTTTTTTTTAAAAAAAAGAAAAATTGCTGCTGGAACTTGTTAACCGTCCCCACATGTCGACATGAAGGCTGATGGCACTTTGTTAATAATGGATGTGGGAGGCACCATTTTTCAATGCACATACATACCAGAATATTTCTTTTATGTGCAAGATATCGGAACGGTAAGCGAAGAAAAATGGATGGTAAGTAAAGGAGGAGGTGTGTACTCCGGTGTCAGCCTCAGGCAGTTGGTAGCACTCTCCCCTCTGAGTCAGAAGGTTGTGGGTTCAAGACCCACATTGGGGACTTTGACATTCCAGTGCAGTGTTGGGGGTGTACTGCATTGCTGGAGGTGGTGCCCTTCAGATGAAACATTAAACCAAGGTCCTGTCTGCCTGTCCAGGTGGATGTTACAGATCCCCTGGCACTACTTAAAAAGAGAAGGGAGTTTCTCTTGGTGTCCTGGCCAACAATCCCACAGATAAATTTGGTTGCTTGTGGCACGCTGTTGTACACAAATCGGCTGCCTCGTTCACCTGCAAATACACAGTCACTACACTTCAGTGTGAAGTGTTTTGAAACATTTTCACCACGTGACCGAGGCTACAGGTTGAAATCTTAGCAACATATTGTATCAATAGTTTCACAGAGAAATAGACCATTGACCTAGTTTACCCACTCAACCTACCAAATATTCCTTTGACACATCTTATTTCCGAATAACCTCAAATCATTTTAGATTCAATAATTAATTTAGTTTCTTTTTGAAATCATATTTATGATACAATTTAGCAACAACAATTTGCATTTATATAGGATGGAATTTTAAGCACTTCCATCAAGTTTTCTCTTTTCAGAAGAGAGAAGTACTCGGGTGACCAATCTTCCCTCACTGTTCTGCACTCCAAGTAATCCTCTACTGCAGCCTCTTCAACAACTGAATATCTTTTTTGTCATAGAGAGACCAAAACTGTATGCAGTACTCCAGATATGATCTCACAAAGACCATACAATTTTGCAATTTCCTATTGACTTTCTACATTACTCCCTTAGCTATCATTGATTTACTGTCTTAACTGCCTGGAATACTGTTTATACCTACCAAAATCCCCAAGTCCCACCCTTCTGATAAATTTTAATTCAACACACATTATACACTCTCCTTTCTTGTGCTTCGGGACATTGAACAGCCTCTGCCACCTTTGTGCCTATATATTCAGTTTTGTTGTTGTATTCTTTCTCATCTGTTGCCACTCTTCCTAATTTGCATGCATAAAATCAGGTCTCTAAATCATTTATAATAATTATAAATAATAGTGGTCTCCATATCAACCTCTATGACACACTGCTAAGAACTGATTCACTGACAGACACTTTCGCATACACCCCTACTCATTGCTTTCTATTAAATAATTATTTGTTAATCTAATTGAATATATTGCTTCCATTCCTTGATGGCACATTGATAACATGCCTGAACCACATGTAGTCATCTATTGTGTGTCAAATGCCTGTCTAAAATCTTGCTAAATAAAGTCCACCATCTCAACATTAGATCTGTAAGATCCTCAAGGATATTCAATAAATTGTGAAGTACAACCTCCCACTGCTAAAACAATTGTGTCTGGCTATGATTTATCTTACCGTGTGAAACTCAAGATGACTTTTCATCAATTGTTTCAAAATTTCCACTACAATTGCCCTGAAGCTTATCAGTCTGTAGTTTGACAGTTCATCTCTAGCCACGTGTTCAAAGATGAGAGTAACATTTGCTATTTTCCAATCCCCTGATATTTGCCTCAAATTCATTGAACTGAATAACTAGCCAAGAGCTCACTCAATGACTCAGTAGGTAAATACACACTGTATCCACCATCCCACAGGCTTTGGCCTCCTGCATATCCTTCATCCCCTCTGTTCGACCCATCGGTGGCTGTGCTTTCAGTCACGATGCTTCAAAACATTGGAACTCTTTCCATCAAGGCGAAACCTTGGGCAAGTTTCCTTACTCCACACGCCTAATAATAATCCCTCCAAAACAAAACAATAATTAATTGGTCATTTTCAATCTACGACTGTTTGTGGGACATTGCTGTGCGCAATTGCCTGCTGCGTTCGCCCACAAATATACAGTCAATTCACTTTACAGTGTGTTCTGTGAAGCGCTTTGGGACGTCTTCCCGACCTGAAAAGCGCTATGTCAAATGCAAGGATTATTATTATTATTATTATTACTATCAACCCCTCAGCCTTGTCCCCTCCATCTCCATTTTCAAATCACAACTTAAGACCTTCCTCTTCGACCGTGTCCACGGTCACCTCCCCCCGGCTCAGCATCAGGCTGTGTCACTGTTAAGCTCCCTGCGTGAAGGGCAAGTTGTTGTTGTTGTAAGTTATAATATGACTGTAACCAGTCAGGTCAATAAAATCCCACACCTTCCCCTGAATAGTGGATTCAAATAATATTTCTCCACACTTCTTACCAGGTTGTCAGTTCCATGCTGACTTTTCCACAGTTGACCCTATAAAATAAATATAATGGACACGGACATACTAGATTGCAAATGTGAGCGGATTGCACTCACTAAATGACCATTACAGGGTGCAATTGTTCCCCTAGCTCCCCCTAAATCGATATGTATAAAAACATTGTTGAGGCAACAAAGGATTCTGTCAGCGTATTTACAACAGTAATAAAAGTATAGAATCATAGAAACCATAGCACAGGGGAAGTCTCTCGAGCATATGCTGGTACTAATTCATCCACAGCAGCTAAAACCCCAATTTCTTTCTCCATCCCTTTCATACTGTTACTTATAAATGTTTGCTAATTCTGCTTTAAATGTTGTTATGGCTTCAGTGTCAAAAGCTACTTTGTGGCACAGCATTTCATGTTTGAACAATGCTGCGTGTGAAAAACTTTCTTCTAACCTCCTCCTCAACAACTCCTTGACAATATTGAATTTATGCCCCTAGTTACTGATTTACTGAACCAGCAGGAATAATACTTCACTATTCATCCTTCAGAATCTTTTCAAATTTCGAATAAAAGTAATCTAATCAATTACAGTCTTGATTTTAATCTCCTTCCGGGCCTTAAGGCTTCAATTACACTAGTTGAGTATTGTTGTTGAAGCACATCACTTACCAAAAGACCACTTTAAATGTAGCCAATCTTATTTCAGAACTTTTATCTCTTTACAGGTGAGGTCGAACTCCAGTGCCACACACTTTGTTTACAAATGGGTCTGACCTCTCTGCTCTGCCGGTTCCTGCCTGCCAGCCCCTGAGCTCAGAACTAGATGCACAGTGGGGAGGGCAGTGGCATTTACAAAGAAAACAGTCAAGAGTTCACTCTTCCAGACCTAAATGCAATACGTATTTGAGCTGGGTCGCATTGGAAACATTATCCGTGGAGAGTAGAACATTTTAACATTATTGCCGAGGAAAGACGAGAGTGGGGATTTTTATTCTAAATGATTTTAAACTCTTTCTAGTACTCCCTCAGTCTCAGGCCGCTTCATTGATCAGTGTCACTGCTGTGATATGTGTAATCTTGAAAATCAAAGTTCAAAACTTTAGCAATTATCTAATGGCAATAATTAACCCAAACTGCAAGAATATCAGGAGTTTTACTGGCCAGTAAATCCCCTGATATGCTACAGTTGGTTTTAGGCAACAGTTTTGTATCATGTCAAAATAGCCACTGGTAGCAGAAGAGGTCTGATACACTTATGTTTTCTTATCCATTCATTATTGCCTAATGAGATTTTGGGTGAGATTAAATGAGGATCAAGAATAAATGTTGACCCCACCACCCCCCTCTGTTACACTGTGAAAGTTTTCCTGCAATGTATCGATATGATACAATTTGCGATTATATTGAGTTTTGTTAAAGCAATTCTATACACCTTCATAACGTTTGCCTGTCATATTCAGTTTTATTGCTCACTAAATGATGTAATTCAACTGTTTGCTAATGTGTTGCATCTGAGTAACAAATCTTTTGGTTATAAAAAGCCTAGTTGTGATTTTAGTAAGACTTGACTAAATTATTAATCAATAAATCAAAGCAGATTACATTTCCTGGACCCAAAGGTAATTTGGACAAGAGCTGGGCAGCTCCCCAATCAGTTAGTGCTGAGTAAAACTGACCTATTTTCAAATCCATTACATTCTGGCTTCCCATGAAAAGCAAGTTAAGCTGTACAATATGTAACATGAACAAAATGGATTATTATGTACCATAATGAAAAGAAATTAAGTCCTTGACTTCTATGATTTGTTACATGGTAACACTATTTGGAAAATTGGCAACTTTACTAAATGCAACAGGAAGCACAGGTTCAGTGGTACGTACAAAGGTAAATATAATGGTAGAGTCAGTGGTTTTTTTTGGTCAGCCGGATGTTTGACACATGTGGAAATCCATCACTATGCTTAAGAGTATCCAAACCAAGCTGAGATTTCCATGCCTCCCAGCTATACATGGAAATCCCAGAGATTGAGTGCTGGAATGGAATGTGCACTCTCCCCTGGAGGGACGCATCCT